ATATATTTAACCACATACATATATCTTAAATGTATGTCACTCTACTTCTATATTATGTTATTTTAATTTATGCAATATATAAAATCATTAATATGACTAACAATGTTACGATAATCACGTCTACGAAATAGAAATAAAATTAAGATATACCAAAAGGGAGTTATTTCCTATAAATTTCTAAACAAATTATGCTTTGAATTAGTGCAAGTTCGGGTCAATATTAAAAAAGTTACGTAAATGGAAAGTGCAGTGAATCATCAAACAACAAAATCAAACTCATAATAACACGTGCATTTTCGGTCCTATATTGAAGTTTAACTAATTAAGCTTCATTGGTTTTCTTTAATCTAATTACCAAGTGTATCCTCTAAAAGTTAATTATTTGGGTAACTTCGTCTTCACTCCTAGTTACGATTTATTAATTATAAATGGATTACTAATTTGAGTAACACATTTATGACATAGACATATAACTCGTAATCAGGTCCGACCCTGGCCCAAGGCAAACAAAACCATTGCCTTGGGCCTTATATTTCAAGGGGCCTCAAAAAAAAGGCTCAAAATCACCCTTATCCATAAATAAATAAATAAATAAAATTATTGTGTTCTTTTTAAATAGAGGAAACTCAGAAAAGGAATAGTCGTCTTGCTCTAGACTCCAATCAATGAATCATCTTCATTCTTCACCCAAAAATATTTCTCTATTCCCTATGCGAGTCTGCGACGAGACGATCCATATTTTTCGTTAATATCTCGCCGAAAATCTGAATTCTCTGATACTTTTCTGAAAGGCCCAGAAAAAAATATTCTGAGATAATTAGGTCTGATGACTTCTTATAGTGCTTTCAGATTTTTGCAAATGAAATTATGGAGTCCCCAAAGAGGAAGTCATTATTTTGCAATTGCTTTCCATCAGCACTGCTGCTTTCTGTTGTTCTTTTACTGGGAGTGCAATCCTAGTCACTGATTATAAAGAGATATTTTTCGTACTTTTTTTCATCTCTATATCTCCAATTATTTGCTCAATCTTTGGTGTTTTTCATTGCTGGTTTTGTCTTATCTTGAACTTATCATAATTCCTTAGTTACTTTTATTGAAGATTTAAATATGAGGAAAGAAATGTTGTTCTTGGTAAAATCCCGAATTAAACAAATAAGTTTGTCCCCTTTACACGCCTAATGACTTAGTTTCTAGATGAGTTGGTACAACATGGTATATCAAGAGTACGGAGGTTGTAGTTCAAGTCTCTTGACCATACATTTATACACACATGCATGTATGGGTGGAGCGCCTCATAATGATTAGTCGTCTAAGGCCTCTTAATTCTCAGGGCCGGTCATGCTCGTATCAAAACATTCGAGATATATATCTTTCTAAATTATT